GTAATATAATATAAAATACAGGGTTTTTTTTGTCCCCAGACTGATCATATAATCTAATTAAGGGCAGTAGGATCCTATGAGACAATTTTATATCTTTATAATTTGGTTTCTAAGATTTAATTCCTTTTCATGTACATGAGTATTATGAGCCCCTATGGTCATTCTGCTCCTGATTTGAAATCACAAACTTTACCTGTCCATACATACACAAAGGGCACACCGGGTGGGAGGAGCCTATGCTGCCAGCAGGGGGAGATGGAGTACTGTGGACCATGATGAATCTGGCTGCAAACACCACAAATTTTTAATTATTTCCTGTGACATGGGAGCATTTACTGAAATAACAAGATGCAAGCAAGCTTTACCCTCAAATATTTAAAAGGGGTTTTTGCAAGAATTGTACAAATAAGAAACATTGGAGACTCTTTCCGTTTGATCTCTCAATGTTCCCTTTCTCCACAAGTATCTTTGGAAGAAAAAAATCACGGGCTCTGTAGGCTCCTCAAGTGTGAAACCCTCAAAATCTCACAGTTGCATCTGGTAAGATGTTCTAAAGCCCAGTTTCAGGCGAGGACCCTCTCTGGGTCTTTTTTCCACCAGTATAAAGAAGAATGATGAGAATTAAGGCTGTATCTCCATGAACAGAGCGCTTGCCTAGCTGCACAAGGAACTGCGGTTCATCCCAGCTCCGAATAACCAGAACAGAAAAGTCAGAAATTCAAGGTCATCTTTGGTTACACACAGTTTGAGGCCAGCTGAGGCTGCACGAGACCCTGTCTTGAAGCAAAATAAAACAAAATCAAGAGCAATGAACAGAGTTTGAAGGGTGGTGGTAGGGGGCTTACAGGGAGGAGGCCGGCTATCCCAGGATGCTCGATGCCCTTCCACACCTGCACAGAGAAAACAATGCCTATTTCAGGCCCTCTCATCAAGACCTTCATTTCTTTCCATTAGAGGGAGAAATGCCAGGGCCACTCCAGCTGAGGAGCCTGAGGATCCACATGCAGAACCTCCCCAACCCCCCTCAGCTCTTCACGTCCACGCCCCCACACCCCCACACCCCCACACCCAGTGTGCCTTCACTGCTCAGCAGGAGGCAGGGACCGTGGTGGTGGCATGAACAAGGCCTGGTGCAGTGGCAATGGGAGCCGCTGGCTCATCACACCAGGAAACAGACAGGACCACTCAGAAGTCCCGCTCATCCTGTCTCCCCCTGAGAAGCTGAAGCTGATATCTGGGTCTCCTCCACCTCCCAAATGAGACTCCCTAATGACAAAGAAATGAGAGAGAACCAGCCCCACCCAGTGGACAGAGGTTTGATCTGTGAGCCAAGGCAGCAGCTGAAGCTTCTGGACAGATCTATTAGCCTAGCTGAAGAAATAACTCACCTCTCACCTCTCCTCAGGAAGGCACGCGTTTGTGTCTTCAAATCAGGAGCAGAATAACCCGGAGAGAAATAAGATAACTTTAAAAAGCGCAGCTCCTGGGGGGAGATGAGATGTTAACATAATTTTTCGAATTGCTTCCCTGAGCATTGTATCCATTTCCCGTATCCTTTCCCATAGTCAGACTCAGGCATAATTAAGCTTTTCTCCGGGACAAACATTCCTTCTCAAGCCTCTGTTATCAGGCACAATGGTACTCCCAAACCCCGCAGTGCGCACCTGCTGCCTGCTCACGAGGGAGAGGACAGGAGGACATGTGACCTCCTCAAAAGCCAAGATGGGGTTTGAGTCACCTCCAAACTCTCCAGGAGCACAGCAGATACTTGCTGGCCATGGAGGCAGGCGGCGCCAGCCTGGTGGGGCTGTCTTGTGTGCTTCGAGGATGCTGGGGCCACGGAGGGGCCGTAGTGGAGCCAGGAGAGGGAGTAGACAAAGGAAGAAGACCGAGTGGCCCGGATTAGGACAGCGCCTGTATTTACTGCAGTGGAGGCGGCGGACTCCGGACAGCTGAAACCTACAGTTGACGTGGAATGAGCAGACTATAATTTACAATTGCACACTGTGAGGACATATGTTAAATGAATTTCTATGTTCTTTGAGAACAGGAGTCTCAGGAAGTCAAGGCCATTCTGGGCTCCTGACAGACTCTGGCTCAGACCTATGTTGGCAGACCACAAAGCAAAGGCCACCTGGATAGAGTGGCTCAAAGGCCAGGCATTCTGGGCAGAGGAGACTTTGATATTGAGGCTGTAGTGAAGAGTAGAAATCTACAGCCTTGAAGCCATCCTCCAGCACCCGGCTGGTGACCTTTGGCATGGAGACTAGAGTGGTACTCCAGAGAAAGAGGGGTGGAGGCTTTGTTCTGGGGAGCCTCCAGCACAGAAGAGCACAGAGGTGAGCCAGTGGGCTCAAAGGGTTTCACCAGTGGACCCTTGACTGGAGATCATAATCTGTGCAGAAAGCAATGCAGAGGAAGAGAATGAGGCAGAGAAGGAGAGGAAGCCATAAGGGAGCACGCTCACAGCCTGGCCGCGGATCTGTAGTGAGCAGGTAACTAGGAGGGAATGCAGAGCCTTTATCTCATGACTCCTCAGTACCATTTGTTCAAGCAACGCTGCAGGACTGTCCTCCCTACTCCCTTGTGCTTCTTGGCTGTTCTGTCTGACTTGCAGGAAATCAGATCCCCTCGCAACAGTGCGCAGGCAAGTGGGAATGGACAGGACGTTCTCTATTCTTGGGTGACTGTTCACGGTGTCTCAGGCTTGGGAGTCGGCAGTGATGGGAGTGTGCTGGGTCAACCCACAGAGTCTCATGCTTCTGTAGGAACTAGGAATCTCTGGAGGTGAAGGACACGAGGTCATGAGGCAGACTAGAGAGAAGCTGCCTGTTAACGATAGACCGATCAGAGCAGCTATCCCAGTGCACCTGGGAATGAGATGATCAGAACTCAGAGTCTCGGTCAGAACCTAGCCAGGAGGAATGCTTCCCTGGCAGCCTCCGAGAAAGTGCCCAGTGATCTTCCGTCAGAAGTGGGAACCCGGGCAATGAGAGCAGACACGCAGTCAGAAATGGAGCGCTGTCCTCCACGTCCGCAGAACCCAGAGCAGAGATGACTGTCAATGCAGCAAGAACTTGTCCTGAGTTGCCCCCATAAGTCAGGCACATTTCAAAACTCTATATTTAGAGTATTTATTTTAACACTCACAGAAATGTCATGAAGTTCCTCATGAATTTACAAAGATATGCGCACAGAGAAGATCAGGGTCCCAACCAGCGTCGATGCTGGTAAAGAGATAAAGCAGGGTTGGGAGATGGGTGCCTGGCCCTAACGTTGGCACACTTAGCTATGGAAGTCCTGATAAATGATCAAGCTTTAAGATGTAAAAAGCTATAAAAGCTCTCAGGGTGAGGGGGTATCAAAAGCAAGACTGAGAAAGAAGTTGTGTGTCTGTGTTCGACTGAGCCTTTTAGCTGTCCCTGGCGTTAGTCTTTTTAAAATGTTTTAAGTATTTTCGTACATGTGTATGGTTTATATTGAGCATAGTTCTCCCATACTTGCCTATTCTCTCTTGTTTCAACCCCTCCCTCCCTTTAGTGCTCTTTATCCCACCAGTGTGACTGGACACCAGCGTGACTGGACACCAGCGTGACTGGACACCAGCGTGACTGGACAGTATCACTTGTATTTGCATGCCATGTATTCATACATGTTTTTATGAACCAAGAGAAAAATCTAGGACCCACAAATGAAAGAGAACATGATATTTGTCATGTTTGTGATATATCTGAAGTGTGTACCTGTGTGTGTGTGTATGTGTCTGTGTCTGCGTGCTCTTTTCTTTACCCAGCCCTCTGTGTGGGACACCTATGATGTTAGTCTTCTAAGAGCAATGCTAAAGGTGAGGAAAGAGTGGCGGAATGTCTTGAAAGTTTTAGAGAAAAATCTCCAACTTAGATTTTTACATTTTTGTCGAATTGTGAATCTAGGATAAAAATAGAAAAAAAAATATGTTTGCAGTTGTGTTCTGCCCCTGAAAGCAAACCTTCTTTTCCCTCAGAAAGTGACTGCAGGGTACGCACCAGTGAGACAAAGACATAAGCAGAAAAATAACTGAATGAATAAAGAAAGCTGTTAAGAGAAAGACCCAGGTAAGACTGAGGGACAGGTCTGAAGAGCCACCAGCCCACACTGACTCAGGCAGAGTTAGGTTTCTTAAGGCATTTCCACAGAGAAGTGGGCCCAACAGAAAGGATGATATTGGAGGTAACTGGTATAATAGATCATCTAGAAAGATCTAGAAAGAGGATGCCATTGAACAATTATAAATAAGAAAAGACAAAGGTCTGAGCAATGAAGGACAAGCAGTCACATTAGAGTAGATCCCAAGAAGACAACAGTTACCTGGTCATCGTGGTACAAATACTTACTGATGGCATAGTTTAAAGTATAGGAGAGAGAGAGATGGCTCAACCGGTAAAGTATGGGAGAGGATCAGATGCCTCTCAGGTAAATGAGCAGGTAAAGTTACTTGTGCCATGCCTGGCAACGTGACTTCAATCCCAGGGGCCACATTATGGAAAGAGAGAATTGATCCCCGCAACTTGTCCTCTGACCCCTACACAGGCACTGTGGCAGGCATAAGTGTGTGCATGCACACAGTTTATAATGCAATACAATGAAAGTGTGGTAAGATTTCCAAAGTGGCTGAACAAGTTTACACTCCCACCAGCAATGGAGGAGTGTTCCCCTTACTCCACATCTTCTCTAACACAAGCTGTCATCAGTGTTTTGATCTTAGCCATTCTGACAGGTGTAAGATGGTATCTTGGAGTCGTTTTGATTTGCATTTCCCTGATGACTAAGGATGTTGAGCAGTTCATTAAATGTCTTTCAGCCATTTGAGATTCTTCCGTTAAGAATTCTCTGTTTAAACCTGAACCCCAATTTTTGGTTGGATTATTTGGTATTTAAGTGTCTAGTTTCTTGAGTTCTTTTTATATTTTGGAGATCAGCCCTCTGTCAAATGTGGGGTTGGTGAAGATCTTTTCTCTTTCTGTAGACTGCAAAAAACCATGAATTTGCGTGTCATCCTTGCATGGCGGCCATGTTAATCTTCTCTGTATCGTTCCAATTTTAGTGTATGTGCTGCCGAAGCAAGAACATGAATACCTTCTAATAGTGAGTGAATTTCGACTGGAGGTTCCCTCTCTTGAGAACCTTAGAGCTCCACAGAGCCTAGAACATGTTCACCCCTGTCCCCATTTCCTGCAGAAACCCTCCTTGAAGCCTCGGTCTTTGCAGATCCAGCCTGCTGGAAGTAGTGTGTTTCCAAGCTTAGGAATAGAATTAATTAACACAACACATGGCCTTCTGCCAATTGGAATTTCAGTCTGGATTTAGTAGTTAGAGAAGACTTTGGTAAATTAATTTGTTGTTACTTAGTAAACACTGGTCATTTGGCAGACAAATTGTTTAAAACAGGGGCCAAGGAGTAAACTCATCATAAGTCTATTGCTGGCAAAAGGATTGAAAATCACAGAGCCAGGGCATCTGACCTCCTTCCAGATCCAGTATCTGGGATGGGTTTTTTTTTTTTTTTCCAGAAACACGGGAGAGGGATAGCGTGAGTTGCTGGGGTGGCATCTAGAATGATAACTTGCAGCTGGTGAGACTTGAAGTGTTTGCAGGGGGACGGTGTCTGAGACTCCGTTCCAACACCTCATCAGCTCCTGAGAGCTAATTTATGACGGGTTCTCCAGCATTTGGAGCCCCTGAAGAAGTCATGTGGCTTAAACTCTTGTCACTTCGCTGTCTTTTCTTTGGTGACTTTGCTGGGGCGAAAGCCTTGACCCAAGTCATTATGAGTCCAGGAGGAGCAGAGGATCTTAGGACTTGCTTTGCCTCTCATGTCAGCTGCAGCCATGAACTCTGAGACTCATCAATAGCGCTAATTGCTGCTTATTGCTGCTCAAAGGAAAGTGGCGCCTGGAACTTTCCTGCTAGGGACACTCAGTGCTCTCGTCTGTGGGGCACATGGGTGCACTGTGTGTACTAGTGCTTTCCTGAATGTAATAAGTAAGGTAGCTGGTCAAAGCAAGCCCAGAGGGCAACAATTCACAGTCAGCAGGCTTCCCTACAACACCTATCTTCGTGGAAAGAATGGCTTGGTCTAGGGACGGAAAGTTAGGACACTTGCAGCGGGAGGCATGGCTGGCAGAGGTGGCTCCCCGAGGGCAGGTCCTTGAGGGTTATAGGAGAGTCTACTTCTGGTTCATGGTCTGACCTGTGCTCTTAGGACAGACCAAAGTAATGTGCATATAAGTCATATGCACTAAGGCTATCTCTCCCTGAAGAAGGACTTTATAGGGAAGTCTGTTTCTGTCCTAAATTCTCCCTCTGATTCCTAATCTGTGAGAATAAGACACGGCAAGTTTTCTTTCTTTTCTTTCTTTCTTTCTTTCTTTCTTTCTTTCTTTCTTTCTTTCTTTCTTTTTTGATTTTCGACAGGTTTCTCTGTAGTTTTTGGTGCCTGTCGTGGAACTAGCTCTTGCAGACCAGACTGGCCTCGAACTCACAGAGATCCGCCTGCCTCTGCCTCCCAAGTGCTTGGATTAAAGGCGTGCACCATCACTACCTGGCCGACATGACAAGTTTTTGTATCACAGACTAACCCATCCCACCAGGCATTCCCCACCATGATAAACTGTTCTCTGGTGTAGGAGTTCCTTCTGTTTCTGTGTTGCTTTAATTGGCTAATGAATAAAGAAACTGCTTTGGGCCGATAGGGCAGAACTTAGGCGGAGTAGACAGAACTGAATGCTGGGAAGAAGGGCAGAGTGGCAGATGCATGGATCTCCTGCCTAAGACGGATGCTGGTTAGAATCTTGCCAGTAAGCCACAGTCATGTGGCGATATACAGATTAATAGAAATGGGTTAAATTAAGATATAAGAATTAGCCAATAAGAAGTTAGCGCTAATGGGCCAAGCAGTGTTTAAATGAATACAGTTTCTGTGTGATTATTTCGGGTGTAAGCTAGCTGGGTGGCAGGGACGGAACAAAAGGGCCCCCGCTCTCCATGCAACAGTTCTCTCTGAATGTGAGCTAATGAAACCTCTTGTCCCTTGCATTGCTTTTGTGGGGAGTTGGTCACAGAGAGGAGAAAGATCTAAAGCAGCCTACAAAGCCAGTTCTGATCTCTGTGCCTCTGGGCTAAAATGTGTGTGGTTTCTGAGGGAGACAGAAGAGCCAGAGGCAAGCCCTCTCATCACCCGCAGTACCCAGAATGCCTGAGGCTATGGCTGGTCTAGGACCGCAAGGATGCTTTTAGGAGACTGAGAAAGCCGGAGCAGAGGCAGGCTGTGGTCCCTTTGCTCTGAATGCCACACAGCCATCTCTCCACGGCATGGCAACCTGCCACGCATGGCCGATTAATTCTACAGGTGCAGTCTTCACATGTCACCAGTTATTGCCTCTTATCACTCCCCTCTCCCAGCCATCTGCCCGGCTATGTCAGATCAAAATAAATCAACAAACAGAAAGTGGCAGGCAGCTGCTGCCTCGGGGATGCCGCAGCCAGTGCTAGACTGGCTTAATTTTTGTCGTTGCTGTTGTTTGGAGACAGGGTCTCATGTAGGCCAGCGTGGCCTTGAACTTGCCATGTAGCCAAGGACAATCCTGAATTACTGATTCTCCTGCCTCCTCAAGGGCTGGTGCTGCAAGCATGTGCCACCACACTTAACACACGTAGTGCTGAGGGACCAGTTCTAGGGCTGCACATACAATACACAAACACTTTACCAGTGGAGATACAGCACCAGATCACTAGACTAAGTCTGAGTAACTGTTCATCTTTCTTTTTCCTCGGGTGTCCAGGTGGCAATACACACACACACACACACACACACACACACACACGCACACACATGCATGCATGCACGCACACATTTGCACACACGTGTGCACATACACATGGATACATACATACATGCATGTACACACGCATGCACATACACACATGCACACTTTCTAGGTTGTGATGGTTAATATTGTCAACTGAGCGCCAGCATTCCTTTCTCTCTGCTCTCCTTGCTCCCTCACGTCACTTGCAATGTTGCAATGTGACAGCTTGCTCCTGCTGCCGTGCCTTCCCCAGCATGGTGGATTCCATCCCCTCAAACCTCAGGCCAAGACAGCCTTGTCCTCCCTTAAATGGTTTCTCTCTCTCTCTCTCCCTCTCTCCCTCTCTCTCTTTCTTTCTCTCTCTCTCTCTCTCTCTCTCTCTCTCTCTCTCTCTCTCTCTCTCTCTCTTTGGTTTTTCGAGACAAGGTTTCTCTGCAGCTTCGGGGCCTGTCCTGGAACTAACTCTTGTAGACCAGGCTGGTCTCGAACTGACAGAGATCTGCCTGTACCCAAGCTTACAGGGTTGTGAGTATTAAGATTATGAGTTAATGCATAAAGCATTTAGAGTAACTTTCCAAAATGCATTGGTTACTAGTTTTTTAATTTGATTTTTTTATTATTTATTTTGTGTGTACAGGCCTCTTGCCTGCATGTATATCTGTGTTCCAAGTGTGTATGGTGTCTGTAGAAACAACAAGAGAAAGTCAGGTCCTCTGGAACTGGGGTTACAGATAGTTACAATCCACCACGTGGGTGCTGGGAATCAAACATGGGTCCTCTGGTAGAGCAGCCAGTGCTCTAACCACTGAGCAATCTCACCAGGCCCTATGTTGGCTCTTATTATTGCTACTATAAATTTTCATTTTAGAATATTTTTAATAGATTTCTCTTTTGACATCATTTATTTGTTCATAGCATGTACACACAGGGATGTAGCGCACCATTCACAGGAAGCCACTGGACGACTTTTGGAAATCAGTTCTCTCCTTCCATCCTATGGGTCCCAGAGATTAAGCTCAGGTCTCCAGACTTGGCAGCAAGCACCTTTACCTAGGATCCACCTCACTGGTCCCAGAGCGACCTTCTTTAGCTGGTTAGAGTATAGACAATGTAAGTCTCACAAACAGAAAGTGGATTAGAGGGTATAAGGGTTTCTGGGGGTTCAGAGCAACTAGAACTAAAGAGGCGGGTTCAACATGCAGCCTGCAGGACACATGCAGTCAAGGATAGCTATGAATATGTCCAACGCAAAATCATAAATTTATGTAAAATATAAGGGAGTGTGTGTGTGTGTGTGTGTGTGTGTGTGTGTGTGTGTGTGTGCGTGCAACTAGAGTGCTTGGTTCTTGAGGTTTAACTTTGAAAATACCAATGCTGGGTTGCAATGTCAAAAGGCTGGACATGCCTGGGAAGCAGTCATTTTCCTACACTGACCCACACCAACTTGGACATTCTATGCTCTGTGAACTCCGGGGCCTCTTGTTCTCTTTTCCTTCCATCCTTGCTTCTGACAGCTCTCCACAGAGGCCACTCACCATCTCCCATAGCCCTTTCTCCCCTGAGTCAAAACCCATTAAACTCCCCATTCCCGGAGCCATGGTTAAAAGCCACACCAATGGCTCGGCAGTGGGGCGTGCCACCCTCACAGAAAGTGCCCGAGGAGGCACAGAGGGATGCATTTCGCTGGCCTGCTCATTTTTAAAAGCAATTTCTAGCACTTTTCCCCTCCACTGCGTCCCTCCCTCTGATGGGAAAGCTTAAGGATTAATTGGCTGTGGCATCCCCAACATCTGCTCCCCATCCCTACGGAGGAGGGCTCCTGATGAACTTAGGTTTAGCCTTAAGGTCTGTGACTTAGAAGATGAAAACAATAGCCAGTTGCAATAGGAACAGTTTTAGCGGTTTGTCCTCTCCAGCTTCTGAGACTGACAAATGAAGCCACAGTCAGTAGCTGGCTTGCAGGATTCACAGATTGCTTGCTTCTGGGCTGGCCTCTTCCAGTGGGACAAGGACAGTTTGAAAGGTAGCTCCAGGCTGGTGAACAGCTGGCTGCTGCTTCCTTCAAGAGCATCCTAAGAACAGGGTTGCCGTGGCTGGTGCTTATTGCTTTTCTGAGGCAAGTGTTTCAGTGAGCCAAATAGACATGCCTGTGTCATCTCCTCTTCTTTTTTCCCCAAGTCCCATGAAGGACCACCATTCCCCTACCCCAGCCAGCTTTATATTCTTCCTTCACCTGAGACATGGAGGCCACTGCCTGACT